CAAGAGTCTCAGTCACGCAACTGACAGTCGTTGACTGCCAGCACAACAGGAGTGGCAGCATCCAAACGACTGCGGTAGGGAGAAGCACGGTGACCACGGAGGCTCATGTTGCAGGATCGAACCAAAGCAAAGGAGACGTGGATCGAGATACAGCAAGGCTGAGCCAGCCTAGCTTGTCGAATTGTTGTACAACTTGCACGTTGGCCGTTAACATTCATGCGTATGGCACTTGTTATTATTGCATGTCACATGAGGGTTGCCTGTACTACAGCCAATGAGCGCTCTTGCTCAGCGGTCTGTATTTCTCGGTATTGCCCGGCAAGTTATTGCCCGCTCAGTTACATGTACGCGCATGCGGACTGTCATTCTTGTACTTTGTGGTTCGTGATCAGATCAAGTGTCTACTGTTCGGAGTTTCAAATTTGAAACACAAAACAGCAACTTGATCTGACTACAAACTACAAAGCACGAGAATGACAGACCACACACGCGCGCATGTAACTGAGCGGACAATAACTTACTTGTTCCAGCCACCTGAACCAGCCGCCTCAGAAGGTGAATGCAACCTTGACATCGATGTCGATGCGTTGATGAGCAGCCGACGAACTAGACGAACTGAATGCGTTCGAGACGAAGTTGTGGAGCCCATCCCACTTTCAGTTCCTGTTCCTACACGCAGTGCTCAATCACGAACAACAACACCATCGATATCGTAAAGAAATAGAGAATTTCAAAACCACAAACGACGTTTACCACTGAACAAGTGTGTCGGGAGACTGAGAAAGTCGGAAAGGTTTCTCTCCATTTTCTGGAATGTTTGGGTCAAGCATGCAATAAATGATTTACTGCGCCTCGTACGCACTCGTACACGGGCAATACCGGCTTGATACATGACCTCACGGCTGGCGCCGTTCGGTCATGTATCAGCCGGTATTGCCCTTGTACTCGTTTGTACTCGTGCAGTAAATCATATATAGGCCAAACTAAAGAAGGTGTGTGGTTCGACTAACATGGACATTTTTTTTGCGGGCGGGCGGGCGGATTTTTTTTTTTTTAATATATATTTTTAGTACAGTTTAGTGCTGTCTACAGCATTGGGTATCACGCTCCTCGGTTTTCGCCTTGTTGAGCACTCTCAGTAGGCTGCTCTAGTGCTGCTGCATCGCGCAATGCCAGCTACATATTGTAGTTTGAGCACTCTGGCGCTAGAGCGACGAGCTACCTTAATGTCTGTGGTGCCTCCTTTGCACCATGGCTGGTAGCTCGGCCTATTTAGCTCGTAGCTGTACTGACCGCTCATCTATACAAAAACATATAGGGTACCCCGTAAGAAGGCCTTAGGCCTGTGGGAATGCCCTATTAAAAATTTAATAAATAATAATAATAATAATAATGAGGCCTTTATGGCCGAAACAGCTTGCTGTCTACAGCATTGGGTATCACGCTCCTCGGTTTTCGCCTTGTTGAGCACTCTCAGTAGGCTGCTCTAGTGCTGCTGCATCGCGCAATGCCCGCTACATATTGTAGTTTGAGCACTCTGGCGCTAGAGCGACGAGCTACCTTAATGTCTGTGGTGCCTCCTTTGCACCATGGCTGGTAGCTCGGCCTATTTAGCTCGTAGCTGTACTGATGAGGCCTTTATGGCCGAAACAGCTTGCTGTCTACAGCATTGGGTATCACGCTCCTCGGTTTTCGCCTTGTTGAGCACTCTCAGTAGGCTGCTCTAGTGCTGCTGCATCGCGCAATGCCCGCTACATATTGTAGTTTGAGCACTCTGGCGCTAGAGCGACGAGCTACCTTAATGTCTGTGGTGCCTCCTTTGCACCATGGCTGGTAGCTCGGCCTATTTAGCTCGTAGCTGTACTGATGAGGCCTTTATGGCCGAAACAGCTTGCTGTCTACAGCATTGGGTATCACGCTCCTCGGTTTTCGCCTTGTTGAGCACTCTCAGTAGGCTGCTCTAGTGCTGCTGCATCGCGCAATGCCCGCTACATATTGTAGTTTGAGCACTCTGGCGCTAGAGCGACGAGCTACCTTAATGTCTGTGGTGCCTCCTTTGCACCATGGCTGGTAGCTCGGCCTATTTAGCTCGTAGCTGTACTGATGAGGCCTTTATGGCCGAAACAGCTTGCTGTCTACAGCATTGGGTATTTTTAGTACATGTAAATACACTGTACTGCCTTTAGACACCCAGTACATCGGCATTATTACGCAGTGTTATGCCATACATGTTGTATAAAGGGATCACTGGCTAATACTTTGAAACATTGTGTAGCTCTGGAACGAGAAGAGAATAACTTCAAGCGGTGACTCTGACTGTCCAAATCATCAAGCAAATGAAGAACGATGCGAGTTGAAAGTAAGTTCGGGAACTACTTCGAACTCAATCGAAGGACAAATTGTACAATGTACCGGCACATGTATTGCTAGTTTTGTGTCGGCGTGCACGAATACATGGGCTTTTTCCATCGACGCTTCCTGTGCTTAAAACCAATGCATGGCTCGTAATTATTATCGCCTTACTCAGGACCGCCGGATGCAGCGTTTGAGTGGTCCGGTAGTATCATCCGGTACAGGTGAACTATCGTTCCCAATACACGAGGAAAGTGCAATCTCGTCTGTCCTTCATCCCAAAACAGAAGGCCGTCCTTAATCTGGAACGAGGCAATCACTCTCAACCGGACGGTCACTTCAAAATAAGTCTCGCCAGTCTGCCGGTGGTCGTATCGAGTAGACTCAACTACCAGCACAAGGCAGCAGTCGTACCACTCACTGCACTGCACTGCAGTACAACTACAAGTCAAGTCCAAAAGGAGCCGCCTGCGTCCGCAGACTCACGCTGCACAACACGTAGACGTGGACGTGTTCAGTCCACGTACGTCAGTCACACGACAGCCCGCCGAAAAAAAGTTACGGTCGGGCTGAAAAATGTACGGTCGGTCGGGTGAGTCGAACCACAGACCTTCTTCAGGGTGGCCTTATTATTATCAAATTTTTGATAGGGCAATCCCCACAGGCGGGATTCACAGAAGCTTTTTTGCGATACGACACGCGATGCGACAGCCGCGAAACCGGGAAATCCCCAAATCGCAACCATCGCGGACCCCACGCAACTGCCACAACAGGGCCATCGCATGCGCGCAGGCCATCGCAGAAGTTGAGCTTGGCTCAACTTTTGCAATGCGATGCGATGCGACAAGCGATTTGGCGTACGATTTTGACCTTTTCTACAGCAAAGTTGTACAAAGGTTCAAGAGTTGCCTATAGGCCTTGGCGGATAATACTACAGTACAATTTTATTGAAACAAAGAAAAATGATGGCACCTATGTACAGGGGATGGCCCACGCCTGGTATAAAGTAAACGTAAAAGAGAAAAAAGTAGTACAGTGAAATCGATAACAATAGTTCAGTTCCCACACAATACCGCTCCTGAGCCGGATCAGACCACAATCCTAGCCTCGGCAACCGCCAGTGCGGCAGAAGCAGAGACAAGGCGGTGGCAGTGGATCGGTCGGCGGGCACCCCGAAGACAGGCAACACTTGCACGCAGGAGGGCGAAGCTCAGCCGGGCACGAATCCAGGCCATGACAGAGGAGTAGGCTTCACGAGTCTTCTCGGACCCTTGGCGGATAATAGGGAGGTTTCGCTCTACGTAATTACGTATGAAAATCCGTATGTGGTACGCGCCGGGGAGCGAGGGCAACTTTCATACGTAAATCTCTCTACGGATTTCCGTAGGAAAGCTCTTTCCTACGTTGGGTCCTCCGTAGGACTTTTTGAAATAATTTTCGCTTTTTTGTCCATGGCAATATTCAAGCCGCGCGAAACACAAGGTACACACACCGTACACCACGTGCAAAATATAATGGAAAACGCGGTTTCGGTTCATGGTGCATACGGTGGGCGCATGCAGCCAACGCGTCTCCAAAGCAACAACACATGTTTAACAGTCGTGGAGTAATCACGTAGAGCGAAATTCGAAACCCAACAGCTCTGATTTTTACGTATGAAAATTCCGTGCAGTTCATACGTTATTTTCATACGTAATTCCGTAGAGCGAAACCTCCCTAATGCTCGAAAAGGTGGCAGATTCTGCTTTTTTTGCACCGAAATTGGCAGAACCATACAAACCTTATGGCGGGCAATTCCTCGAATTCTGCTCCATTTCTTTATCCACATACCAAACATGCATGAAACTTACCAGAAAAAGTACCGAATTCTGCCAATTTTTCTGCCGGCATTATCCGCCAAGGCCTAGTTGCCTATAAATTTGTACAAGTTGTATGAAACCGCGCAAATATCATGGTGACGTAGCCAAATCAGCAAGATGTTGTCGCATCACTGACTTCTTCTGTGAATGGTATTTCGCGAGTTCGCATCGCACGCGTCCGTCGCAGATCGCGTCGCATCGCGTGTTGCATCGCAAAAAAAGCTTCTGTGAATCCCGCTTAAGGCCTTCTTACAGGGTACCCTAGAAATGAAAGTACTGAATTACGGAATAGATGCAGGGAAGAGCATAAGCGGACTGCAGCGGGGAGTGCATTCCAACGGTCGGAACCGATGAAAGAAACTGAAAAGAGACCGAAACGAGTTTTAGCTTTGGGTAGAGTCACAGACGAAGATACCTGGGAGCGAGTGCAGGAATTGGTACGAGTAGAAGTAGAACGAAGGCAAAAGCAATCAGTAAGGAGAGTAGTAGTTAACTGATTCAGGACACGAAACACTAAGATATAGAGTTTGAACTGATAGCGCACAGACAAAGGGAGAATGTGATGGCGTGCATTAATAAGGGGTACGTCAGAAAAGCGAGGCATACTGAACACAATGCGTAGAGCTCTATTACTAAGACGGACTAGACGGTCATGCAGAGTTACTGACAAGCAGTGAGCAAATGAGTTGCTCCCATACTCGAGTACTATCTGAATGGAACAAATGTAAAATGCACGCTTTGCAGTTACCGTCATGTGATCTCGGACCTTTCTGAACATGGCTAACTTACTTCCAACTTTCCGCTCTAGTTGCCTAACGTGCTCTCCGAAGGAGAGATGTTCGTCGAGTACAATGCCAAGGTATCGAATGTGTGCACTAGGGTTGATTGTGACCTCACCCAGCTGTAGAGCGACGCTAGGGTCAAGGGGCTTGCACTTTGACCTGAACACGACAAACTGCGTCTTGGAAGGATTCAGCAGTAAGCTTCTGGCCGCCAAGAACTCTTTCACTTTCACCATGTCTTCTGCCAACTCCTTGCACAATAGTTTGACGTTCTTGCCAGCTTTGTACAGGGAGACGTCGTCCGCGTACTGTCGAGCCTTGCAGTGCTGGGGTCACCCCAGGCGAAATTACTGGTCAGTCGGCGACTAGGCCCCGGCGGATAATGCCGGCAGAATTTCGAGCAGAATCAGGGGTTTCAAAATCGGAGCAGAATGCGGCAGAATGAGGCAATTGGCGGGCAGAACGGAGCACCAGAGGAGCAGACGGAGCACCAGACGAGCAGAACGGAGCATGAGACGAGCAGAACCGAGCACTACAAATGTAGACGAGCTGAGAACCGAGCACTAAACGAGCAGAGCGGTAGACGAGCAGAACCGAGCACTGTAGTTCTCAGTACGCAGAGCTTACGCACGTCGACGTGACGTCATGCCACTCAGCTTCGGTATCCGTAACGGACCTTTTGCAGTTTTGGCCTATTTGGGAGTCCTTGGTAATCAGGACGGTCTCGTGTATGGCTCCCTGGACGTTCGAAGATTCGCCTCAGCTCAGACTCACTGTACTTGGACATTTTTGGTCGTTGTTCATGACCACGTGACGGGTATGCATAAGCTCTATAGAGGAGTTTTGCAACACCTTGTGAATCGTTACATGCCATTTTAGCCCAAATTAGGGCTGGTGCCTTCAGAAATGGAAAGGCCGGATCGCGGGATAATCGATGTTCTACTGTAAAGGAATATTAATGTTTTACTTTTTGTTGTACTTTAGTTCATTACCATTGCCTGGATGTTGAATTGTGGGCTGGTAATTTAGTGTCTTGACCTGCGACCCTGATATGCTCTGTGTGCGGCAATGGCGGAATTCGGTGATGTACGTGACAGATCAGCCGACTTCGATTCCGCCGAAGAAGATCTTATAATTGTTGATATTCTTGACGACGAAGATGATACACCAGTGGACACGGAAGGCCAGTCTGGCGAAGAGTGGCAAAGCCTGGACATAGCGGAGGAAGCTGAAATCTCCCGTGTAAGGTCTGTCTCATGATTTTGCATAATGACCACCTGTGCTACAGCAAGTGAATGGAGTCACACACCTCGCAGGTCTATTTCCTACTTTGCTGACCTCTAGATCTGTAACACACCAAAGGCATTCCTCTGCTTTAAAATTCTTGCCGCACCACTTGTACAAGAAAAGAGGAACTTGTCTATTGTATTACATTGATCTATAATGAAGTTCAAGTAATACTCTAATGTACATGTCATCTCTGACATGGAGCAGAATTGAGCAGAATGTGGGTGTTTTGCGAGCAGAATGCGAGCATAATGAAAAGCAGAATGGGCCTAATTCCCGAGCATTATCCGCCGGGGCCTATCGGCGACACGCATTTTTCACAAAAATTTGCGTTTCACCTGCATGCTGGGAGAGTATGCGTGTATACATGTACTCGAGTCTCATCCTGAGCACGTTTTTTTCTTTCTTTTTTCAGCTCCAGTATAATAATAATAATATTCGCGGGATCCGCGTCGGCATGGCATCGCTTGAATGTTCAGAAACACACAAACTAGCCTTCGCATCCGCAGGCCACCACTATGCCTATTAGAAGGAAGTTAGGGAAGTTAAGGCAAAAATCAAAATTTCACCAGTTGTAGTTTTCGGGGTGCTGAGTCGAATGGTCTTGGTCCGAGAAAGCTGAGACGCTCCCTTCCTACTTTAATCCCAATCGAACTCGCGCACTTCCACCGAAACTGGGTGACTGCGCCCTACGAGATGGGGATTTGTATGCAAAATGTCACTAAAAGCGCCATTTCGTTCTTATAAAAGCACGGATGACCGCGATTGGCCCATATGTTGTAGTCTTTTGGACGCTGAGTCGACTGGTTTTGGTCCGAAAAGGCTGCGATGCAGCGTTCCTCCTTTATTCCCTATCGAACATGGTTGAAGAAGCGGTCACGTGGTCCTGGGTGCCCAAATCACCTGGTCACCACGCCAGCAGGCGACAAACTCATTGCGCGAAATCACGCGACACCTGTACATTTTCGATCTGCGGGATGAAGATGACGACGTCCATGCATCAGGTATCAGGGGGTAGTAAGATACTGGTATATTACTACTCCACGCCTCAAATCGTGCTGTCAAGCGTATGCGGGGGAGTGTAGCATGCCATCCCTTACACTTTCCAGCTCAGGGTTACCCTCGCTACCAATGGACGAAATTTCAGGGTCACAGCTTGCGCAACGGCTTTGTCCTGTGCGAATGGCCACTCGACATACTCAGCACAAATTTTCTATTGCATGCATGCACAAAATGTTCAACTTTCGTATTTTTGGCGACTTTACCACCGTCGTGGAGGCTGGTTGGTGAGGAGCAGGTAGCCATCCCTTGTGGAATCAAACACATGGTTCCACAGTGTGGCTGATTCCGCAAGAGCCAGGTCCATACGAGGAACATTCGCTTTGTCTTTTGCCATCGAAGTAAGTCACTTTTCTTGTTCTCAGTGTTTTTTACGTTCAACGTTTCTGAGATTTTTGAATTATTCACTTTTCATTCTTTCATACTTTATTTCTTCATGTTCACTGCCTCACTTGCCTTCTGATCTGGAGAATGTGACGGAGGTGACTGTTGGTTACTGCCTGGTATAACGGTTGTCGTGCTGTTGCTGTATTTCCGTCCTGCTCGCGACGTTGTAGATCACAAACAATTTGAAATCACATGAATTGTACTTACCGTCGTGCGTGCGGTATTAGGAAACACTGTGCAGATTAGATCGTCGCCATGTATCTATATGTGTATCTGGTCATCCTGTGCCACGCAAGAACTCCAACCAGATGCATTCGTCCTCGGCCCTGTTGATCGATTGTCCACTCGTCTTTCCTTGAAGAACGATCGATCAAAAAAATCGAGCTCGAGGACTTTTTGCAAAAAACGGCTGAAAAAGGAAGAAAAAAGGGTGCTCAGAATGAGATTCGAGTACACAACCATGGTCCCAGCAGTTTATGTGGATGTCGCTCATAGATGCGCGATTTCGCGCAATGTTTCACACCAAGGTTCAACTCGAGTGACAGGAGTGCACCCAAAAAAGGTCACACAGGCTAGTAAGTTGTACCCTGCAGGCACGGTGACCAGGTGACTGGTGTACGCAGGAGCACGTGACCACTTGTTGAACCATGTTCGATTGGGAATAAAGGAGGAACGCTACATCGCAGCCTTTTCGGACCAAAACCAGTCGACTCAGCGTCCAAAGGACTACAACATATGGGCCAATCGCGGTCATCCGTGCTTTTATAAGAACGAAATGGCGCTTTTAGTGACATTTTGCATACAAATCCCCATCTCGTAGGGCGCAGTCACCCAGTTTCGGTGGAAGTGCGCGAGTTCGATTGGGATTCAAGTAGGAAGGGAGCGTCTCAGCTTCCTCGGACCAAGACCATTCGACTCAGCACCCCGAAGACTACAACTGGTGAAATAATTTTTGCCTTAAAGGGGAAGTATACCCTAAAATCAAATTTTCACCAGTTGTAGTCTTCGGGGTGCTGAGTCGAATGGTCTTGGTCCGAGGAAGCTGAGACGCTCCCTTCCTTCTTTATTTCCAATCGAACACGCGCACTTCCACCGAAACTGGGTGACTGCGCCCTACTAGATGGGGATTTGTATGCAAAAAGTCACTAAAAACGCCGTTTCGTTCTTATAAAAGCACGGGTGACCACGATCGGTCCATATGTTGTAGTCTTTTGGACGCTAAATCGAATGGTCTTGGTCCGAGGAGGCTGCGATATAGCGTTCAGCCCAAATTCCCAATCGAACGCGGTAAAATACGGTCCCGTACGAGATCCCGTACCGATGCGTACAAAAGTCACTGGCCTGGTCACCGTGCCAGTGCATGCAGTGCAGTGCACTGACTGTGCCGGCCGGCTACAGTCTATGATCTAGTCTGTGACACGATCGAGGGCATGCCGGCATCTCGCTCTCATCCAGGGTTCAAGAGTTCATAACTGAAACTCACCGAATGAGCTTTCGGTCTATGTTATGTATGTAGCCGGCTAGCCAGACATGTCGGCAAGGGTGCATGACGGGAAGAGTTCAAAGTGTGCTGCAGTGCTTACACATGGATTACAATGACTGTCATGTTCTTTGAATCTGGGTGTGAAATGCCTTCTTTTTCCTGGTTCATGGCGACACTAGCCGCTCAGCACTGCGTGTTTTATTTTTCCAGCCACTGCGTTTGCTATTCCGTATTCGACGCTCTTGACTTTGCATGAACTCAGCAATGGCTGGCAAAGAGACCCCGACCAGTTTGCGTACAGAAGCCATAGATGTATTAGCATATGCAAGGGAGCCAGAGTTTACCACTGAAGAGCTCCAGAGTTTCCGTGACGGTGGCGAGGAGCACGTTGAAAATGAGGAGGAAGCTGCTGCTGCTGCGAGCGTCGAAGAAGCCTGGCCTCCCCACACCAGAGTCGGCAACGTTTCCTGGTGTGAATGTACATGCTGCGTGCAGATGGAGTGTAGACTGGACTGCATATGCTGCCGTGAAGTGGGTGCCGTGTTGCAGTTCCTCTCAGGCACCGCACAACGGTGCGTGTCTGAGACGGAAGAGTTCCAGACAGGATGCCTAAATAAACACGTTTTGACCATCGCCTTGCGCGGATACCTGGACATGACCAAGCAGCTGTGCAACCAGCCGCCGACAAATTTTGACAATAGGTGAGTGAGTTCAACTAACTAATTACTTCAACTTTTATCTTGCCTTAGCTGTGGGGACAGGTGTGTAGATCAAACTATAAAAAAGGTCTTGGGAGGACTGGGGCGAACTCGGTGCCTGTTCACAACTCACAAGTTCTCAGTAACAGTCTACCGTGAGTGGCACTAACAGCGCGGCCGGATAAACCTGTCCCCAACAGGTGTCTATTTTCTTAGATGGGACTGGACTCAGTGAAAGTGTGCTGTGCTGTTCAGTCCACTTTCATGAAGTCATGATGGATTGAATATTGTGTACTTCCTTGCCCAGATCATTCAGATATGCTGCCTACCGACAGGTAACGTGGATGATCCATGGGAAAATGGGTCGTGGTGTAAGATGTCGTATTCCAGCATGCCTTGTGGGAGCAATACGCCAGTGCTTTCCAAACCCTCCGGGTAAGCAGTGATTTCTTATGGAGTGAATATAAATACGAGTGAAATGTGGCAACTCCATTGCTTGGAAGTCTTATGAACTTGGAGATGTCAACTTATAAAGATAAATGAATGAACGCTTCGGGTGCGGATCTGCCTGCCTGCGTGCATGTGTGTGTGTGCGTGTGCGTGTGTGTGATGACAATTGTCTGTGAAGGTGTACCGTACCATGGGTTTGAAGAAGCCAGGGATGAGGCGGATACTCAGTGGCCCGAAGATTGACATCATAACTTTTAGAGGTAAGCAATGACTTGCCTTCTCTAATACTTCAATGTAAAGAATAAGCTATTTAGGATTCCTGAACGATAGGCATTGAGGACTGGCAACAAAATCAGATACATGTGCACAGGCATAATCTCCGAACATGCAAATTGGACAACACACCATTTGTTCTTGTTGGTCATTACTCCTTGCAAAACACTTCCACCACAACTAAAACGAAAAGAAGGGAAAAAGGCCAGCAAAGGCACAGCATGCTCGCACCATCACATATACGTACACGTGACACAAAAGGTATCATAGTGCGAGCATGACTCATACTCATAGTCACAGCACATACAGCCCGGCGCAGTTGTACAAGCGAATGATCGCGGGCACAAACGGCTTTAAAAAACAAATAATTTATCATGAGAGCAGCTCAAACAACTACAGGTTTGAAGCGGAAATAAAAATAGAGCTGTGTTGCCGTGTGTTCATATTTGGGTGGGAACATCGCATTGAACAACGCACTGCTGTTGTCCTTCATCTTCGCTGTCCTGGTCTTCCTCCTGCACATACCCTGCATCATCCTCTAACGTTACTTCATACTCTTGTTCCTCTTCCTCCTCTGGTGCAACTGATGGTGATGCTTCTGCTGTTGCTGCCATTGCCAATCTCGTTTGCAGATTGGCGACCACTGCTGCCTTGACTGGAGCCCCGCGTCGCGACACGTTGACAGGCTTACACTTCTGGATGGGTGGCACTGTCAGCCTCTTCGTGGCCACATCACTGACCTGCTGCATCATGCTGTGCATGCATCCGTATTTCTTTTCACTGTAGATTTTTTTGGCCACGAAATCACCCTTCACTCGAGAAAACTGGACCTTGTACTGTGGCTGACCTTTTGATGTTGCCTGTTCTCTGCCAGCATTGAAGTTATGGTCAAGAGCAGCAAGCTGGGTGCGGGCCTCCATTCCCTCTCTACTGAATTGAATTCGCTTCGGCATGTACTTCGTCATCATGCTATGGTACACCTGCATGCACATGACGAACAAGAAAGTTATTCAGGTCACTGATACCTGGTTCTGACTGATATGCTCCTTATGTCAATTATTGACAGAACTTACGTATGTTATGGGAACACAGTGCAATGCTGAGTGAGTCAATATTTTAGTACCACTGCCAATATGAGCACGGCGTTCCGATGGTCGGTCTATGTTATGGCTGGTGTAAGGATAACAGACATTCTCCCATTGGACTGTTGGATATTTGTAAGTAAAAGTCATATATCCAGGATCCATTTCCTCCTTACCTCTAAGTTTCCAGTGTGCTGGAAATCTGACAAATGCATCAAATCTGCCAGCAGTCTCTTGTCTTGAACAACTGATTCCAGAACCTTGTAGGCTGGAGACCCTAAAGAAGTGAGAAAGATAAAAGAGTCAGAATCTATACTGCCGGTCTACTGTTAATTTTGTGTGAGTGGGTAAAAGTGTATACGTAAATGTTAGATGCTCAGACATTGTATTGCTCATGCTTGACTTATTGATAGGGGTGTCATCGAGTAGTAGGGTACCCGTGCTACCCGTAATTAGAGCGGATATTTTAGGGTAGCAGTTTACTGAGTACTCCTGAGAACCCAATCGGGTAGTTGCGGTACGGTGTTTTCACAATGGTGCATGTAAAAAGCATGGCTACTTGCTTACTGTACGCTTTCTATGTAGCGCAAGTGCACACGCACTGTACAAACCATGTCCGCAAAAATACCCGATAGGGTGCCCGTGCTACCGGATAGAAATACGATTTATTCCCGTAGCTATGCAGAAGACGTTACTTCAGTAACGTCTGGCGCTAGCCAGGGTCCACACAGCTTTAATTTGGTATTTGTGTGTTTGTTTGTTTGTGTCACGCCTGGCGCTATCCCGTATCTGACGGCAAAAAATCATAGGGATGTTATAAATTTTTCAATTCTATTTTTTTCAGGCATATCCTTGGATTCGAACCCGCACTATCGCCCTACATGCATTCGCCCATACACTTCGCATTCATACCCATTCTTCCAAGTTGCTTCACGTTATGATCTTGCGTTTGAAGGCCCTATTTGAATATTGCGGCCAGCTGTATGTGGCCAGCTGTGTTTGTTGGTACGGTACGGGAGACGGTGTCGTATTACCCTCGATCGTACCTGTCCCGTACCTATCCCTACCGTACCGTACCATCAAAGACGGCTGGCCACAATGCATATTCAAATAGGGCTTTCAAATGCAAGATCATAATGTGAAGCAACTTTGAAGAATTAGTATATATGCGAAGTGTATCGGGGGATGCATGCAGGGCGCGATAGTGCGGGTTCGAATCCCAGGTTATGTCTAAAAAAAAAGGAATTTTTTAAAGAATTTTATAACATCCCTATGCTTTTTTTCGTCTAGGTCATCAAGGCAAAAAAGCATAGCGTAGGGCCCTGAGCTTCCAAGCTCTCTCGTTTTTACCTGATCTCATTACCCGGCCAAACCCCTACCCGTTGCAGCCCTACTTATTGAAATTCAGTGCTGCCAACTTTCCGTATTTTCCGTATTTGTAAGGAAAATCACTCCTTCGTCCGCAGTGCGGAATTGAAAAATGGTATGGAAAATTGAAGAGGATCGATCAGCCACCGATACTTATGTAGAAGCATGGCAAGCGGAAGCTGAGCGATGAATATCCCTGTGCCAAAGTGAGCGCATACCATGCTTCGACTACATGTAGCACAAAATATCATGTCATCACGGGTACAAGTCACACATGTTTTGCACTAGCAAAATCAGCCACCGACAAGCATGTGGGTGTCAAAAAAGCACAATACAAGCAATGCATATGACAGTACTCTGGTAGTACGAAAGGAGACACTGCAACATATGGAAAATCAGTCCGCAAAGAAAGACCCAGTTGGTTGGCAGCACTGGAATTTGATATTGATAGCGACACAACTTTCACGCTTTACTTACCGGGTGTCAGCCACTTTTTCTGTCGCTGCTCATCAGTGGAAAGCGGAGGATGTGCACACTGCGTGAAGAGTGTACCCTCAGTCCAGCTATGTCGGTTGACGATGTGGTAGAGGACTGAGTTCCACTTTTCACGCAGCAGCACAGCATTGCCTCCGCACGACCGGGCGCAGTACCACAAGTGGTTATTGATGGCCGGTAACCACTCGAGCAAGGCCTGCTGGTCTTTCCTCCTGCATCCTGCCCTGATCTTGGAGGCGACACTCTTGGCATAGTGCCATACATCAAACTGATGCTTGATGGAGTGGCGTCCTCGCATCTCCTTCTTTATGCTGGGGCTCCGGTCAGTGACAACAGTGGCAATCTGGAGAAGGGGATGAAGCACGCAAATGTACACATACAAGGAGAGAAATTTGATCCCAGAGGGTGGTGGCGTTCCCACGGCGGATGCGGAAAACTCGGCTTCCAGCCGAGTCTCACGCAAACCGTGAAATTTAAGGAGAGAAATGTAGGATTTGTGGGTGTTTTCCTCAGGGTCATAAATCATCAAAACAAGCAGAACTTCAAAATTAGATTGCAAGTTGCACATTGTTTTAAAATAAGGAAAATATATCCAATCTGTACACACCTTCAACCCTTGCTCCAAACAACGGTCAAGTGTGACAACGAATCCCATCTTCTCCATTGCCACTGAGCTGGTTGTGTCCGTGGACATCGCCAGATGGTAATCAACAATTAGGTCGGATGCAACATCCATGAAAGTGTATGTCCCGAATCGTGCGGAATAGCCAGGGCTGTCACACCTGCCATCTCCAGCTAGAGTGAGTTGTCTGCCTACAGTGCAGCATAACAAAGATAACATATGCAGAAATTTCCTCCTGCCCTTCAACAAAGTGTGGGTACTCCCAAGTGCCAAAATTCTGGACGTGAAAGCAAACAGCTAAACATACTGATGGGTTTTGCTTTTGCAAGTATGCATGGTGTAGTGTACATGTATGTGCTGATGATACACTCATGGACATTTCTTACGTCATCATTATCATCAAACTATTGACGTCACACCATGCGCAGATAATTTTAGTATGTCTGCCTTTTTGTATTGACACACGGGTCTCCTTGTTCTTGTTACGTTGACATAATTTACTTGCAATTGTAGTTGGTCTTCTTCTAGTCTCCATGTAATCGATCATAGAATAAACCGAACCCCGTCTCTAGCTGAGACACTACACATGGCCCATGGAATATTCACTGGTCAAGGCAGTGAGCAGATTCTCCTGTACTGTTCTCCCTCAGCATCACAGACAATCCACCAATGCTGCACTATATACTACATAGCATATACAATCAGCAAAGACCCCTTACCTAACAAAAGTGAATGAACACGCGTACGCTCTGCAAGCCATGCCGCTTGGATAACTGGAAATACAAACTTCTGTTGTATTGAAAAGAAGGTTCGTCTTGACATGAATTGCAAGTGGAAAAATTCAGCAAACTTGCTGAATTTACTGTAGGTGCCGCCGCACAGAAGGATGGCTGCTACGAGCAGAATAGAACCTGCAGTGCAAAGTGCCAACATTCATGAGTACACACAGCTATCACTGTCTTGATCACGATGTGCCGGAGACTTAAACGTCATGTATAATGTTTGCTGGTCTCGATAAGATTTCAGCATGCAGCCCTCAAATCCCAAACATCACTGACACTCCCATGAACCATGGTATTTAAAATTAACAAAACCCTCCTGAATACAGCCCCTCCCAACTAAATGCAGTGCCAAAAACCTCGCCAAGTTTCAGTAATAGGAGAAAAAGGTGATTTAAAGAAATGGAAGCCAGAAAATATTGGAAAAACATGTACTCACACAGTGACTGCTGCTGAGCCTTCCCCGTGGTGGTGTGGGACCGCCAAATGACGTCACAGTCCTGCTCACATATCATCTTCACCACTAGCATAGGACCAACTAAGGTTTTGGTTCGACAGATAACTTTCCCTCCGCACTTGGGGCAGTACTTCATTAGCATAAAGAGGGATGACTCACAGACAAAGTACATGTCTTCAGGTGATGTGTCACTGGCTGGAGGCAAGCTGTCGGATTCACTGTGGGAGGCTGAACTATCAGTGTCTGGCACGTAGTCTGATGAGTTTGATATTATTGTCTCTGTGCTAGAAACTTGGATACCAGGTGCCACTTTGACGGGAGTAGATGGTTGGAGAGTGCTGATTCCAGTGACTGTTTCCCCCCAGTCCACCCTCTTCTTCCCTGCCTCAGCTCCCGTAATGCCCACCTATGAAAGTAGAGAATTATACACGGGGATTATAATCAAATCAATATGAAAGGTAGGATGAACAAATTCTACTATACCTATGGTCCTAAGTTATAACCTACTGTTCAAGTACTGAGTATACATGTTGTTCTTCTGAAGATACACGGAACACCTTACACAGACCATCCTCAAAGCAAGTGGTCAGATCATGCAAGGGGGCATCGTAAAATTGTATTTATTTGTACTATTTCAAAGTAGACAATCAGCAGAGATGGGCACATACATATGTAGCCTTTGGAAATAACTCCAATACTCCAATACTCAGATAATCGGACTCAGACTCTGCGTTTTGCTGCCACATTTCCCCCATAATCTAAACCTAACAGGAAATTACGTAAACGCATAGCTGTTACCTCCATGTCCTCTTCACACACCATCTTTGCAGCATCATCATAATCAGCCAACTCTGGAGCCGGACCATGAGTCGCTGTCACTGCAGTAGCATGCACTTGTTGTGTTGAGCTTGGCTCTGCATGTGCAGGACTCGCGGCAAATGTCTGCGTGGCAACAAAAACCATTATGCACCTGTTAGGCATTTTTCACTTCCCTTAGGCCACCCTTTGTTAATTCATTGTTTAACGTCCTTTTTTTCGCGAAAAGGTACGCGGGAGGGCAGAAAAAAAACAAAAGCCCATTCCAAAAACTGGAAACCCCAATCAAACATTTTGACCAGTAAAGCATGTGATATATACAATATATCTGGGTCTAACGGCACTTGCAGGCATAGAACAACACTCTTTGATGGTACATTGGAGCACATGCCTGATGAATCCAACAAAACAGGTACATAGCATGGAGTTAGCATGTCATGAATTCATTACATCTGGATTTTTACTAGGACACACACCGTACGATATTTAAAAGCCAACAAAAAAAAGAAAAAGAACACAAGACAAAGGCATGCCCGGGAGGCAAGATTATAAGTTTAAGGTTATGATCGGCACACTGTGAAACTACACAATCATGTATTTACAACTTCGCATATTATTGGTACTACTACTTTCTTGTTTTTTTTTCCGGTCGGAGGCAAAAAGGTACGCGGGCGCGGACGTTAAACAACGAAAAAAGAAAGGGTGGCCTTACAGATAATTGGACTGATTGAGTACTACAGATACTTAGTATGACTGTAATGGTATGATCGCTTACCTTGCCACTGTCCACTGCATATGCCGTCTTGGTAATGCTATCATGGCCATCCAACTCAGAAGTTGGGTATTCCGTGGCTGTGGCAGTTGCAGAGGCTACAGGAGGCTGAACTTGATGTTGCGGAATTGACGGTCCCGTGTCTGCTTGAGGTGATATCTGCAAAGACACGGTAAAGGCAACTGTTGTAATTTTTGCACTTATGTAATAATAATAATAATAATAATAATACCACAGCACGCGTACAAAGGCCAAAGAACAATGCATGAGAATACACTGAAATTAAGCCAAGTCCGCTTCTGTCTCCAGTCAACAAAAACTCATCCATAAACAATGTCTGATCAGAGTCCATTTCGTCTTGTCTGCAGCAAATGCTCGTGCTCCTTCTAGGTCGCTGGCATTCTTCAAAGGGATGTCGTGCCCTGCCAGGTCCTTCATGATGGTGGTAGGGAGAGTAGCCGCGGGACGGCCCCTTCGTCCACGTGACCCCGCTTGAAAATAGCAGGACATCGCAAGGCAAGGGGGTGACTGCTCACTCATCCTCAGCACATGGCCAGTGAGGCTACGTCGTCGCTTGGCAACAAGCTCCGACAGTGGCTGCGAGCCACATCTGGAATACAGATCATCATTCGTAATTCTGTCTTGCACTTATGTACTAAGGCCAAACAATATGCATCAGTCCTAATTAGCCTTTTCGAGCAATTCGCATACAGCATATCTATGAGTTTAGTTTGGCGAAGCTTAGCGTCCTGGCTACTCTGAAAGCACATGTCTGCATACAGGTAGTGGAGTTTTGGTGAAAAGTACACGTTATTCAGAGATTTTTGACCGCATGACTTTATTCAAGTAACAGTGGATCAGGGAGTGTATGTGCCGAACTGAAACACTGTATAACAGTCACAGTGCTTCACTTCTCCTTCACTAAAATAACCTAGAGCGGAAACACATTCCGCATCAGGTGCCGGTATAAAAGCCCGTACCTTATTTGGTTCCCTTTTTTGTTGGTAAGTAGACTTCCGTCGCTTCGGCGGAGGCGGATGGTGTGGCCAAAGTCTCAGGGACGGGACAGCGGTTGGCTTCAGATGTAGCGTTGGCGGAGTATTAGCCGAGGGCACGTCCGCAATAAAGTCGTCTGGATGTACAAAATGAGCAGAGCAGACCGCGCAGGTATCGGGCAGAGTAACCCTCCTCAGTGCTCTCACCCAAGCGGCGCGTCGTTTTGCCTCTGCGGGGAGTCTGTGAAGGGAGATGCCTCCACCGCTACGATTTCCGCAGCCCACAACGGCACAGGCAGGCATAGCCGGTGGTGGAATAAAACAAAAACGAACACAAGGTACAGAGCTGCTAGCGTCACCATGTACCAAGAAAGCGAAAGGACTTCAGACTTGATTAGCAATGTAAAAACAACTTCAAACAAAGACTCAAAGTAGTGGCTAGTGCACGACTGTATTATGCAGTGCAGCACACTTTGAACTCTTCCCGTTGTTGTTGTTGTTGTTGTTGTTGTTGTTGTTGTTGTTGGTGGTGGTGTTTTTATTTGAATTCGCAATACCACCCGTCCCTCCCGTCATGCACCCTTGCCGACATGTCTGGCTAGCCAGGCACAGCGCATTAGTTCTTCCGCCTGTTTCTACGCAATATGGCATGCGTTCTATTTCTTTCCTGGCGGCAGACAGATGGAATGCTCTTCCCACTGACTGCCGTCAGGCCCCGTCTCTTACTCTGTATGTAAACATGGTAAAAATTCACCTAGGGTTCCCAGTAAAAAGGCAACGCCTGTTGGGACTCCCCTAGTAAAAATAATAAAATCTACTACTACTAGTGTACTAGCCGGCTACATACATAACATAGCTAGACCGAGAGCTCATTCGGTGAGTTACAGTTGTGAACTCTTGAACCCTGGATGAGAGCGAGATGCCGGCATGCCCTCTTTCGTGTCACAGACTAGATCATAGACTGTAGCCGGCCGGCACAGTCAGTGCACTGCACTGCATGCACTGGCACGGTGACCAGGCCAGTGACTTTTGTACGCATCGGTACGGGATCTCGTACGGGACCGTATTTTACCGCGTTCGATTGGGAATTTGGGCTGAACGCTATATCGCAGCCTCCTCGGACCAAGACCATTCGATTTAGCGTCCAAAAGACTACAACATATGGACCGATCGTGGTCACCCGTGCTTTTATAAGAACGAAACGGCGTTTTTAGTGACTTTTTGCATACAAATCCCCATCTAGTAGGGCGCAGTCACCCAGTTTCGGTGGAAGTGCGCGTGTTCGATTGGAAATAAAGAAGGAAGGGAGCGTCTCAGCTTCCTCGGACCAAGACCATTCGACTCAGCACCCCGAAGACTACAACTGGTGAAAATTTGATTTTAGGGTATACTTCCCCTTTAACTTCCCCTTTAAGGAGGCTCCGAACAGTTGCGCAGCGCAGTGTAAAAAGGGCACCTCCGAAATCTGTTTTTTGCCGCGAGATTCGAAAAATGTTGTGTTCCATGCGGAAACAAGCTGTTGTTCAGAAAGAAGTTTTTTGATTTCTCTGTGCTCGCAGTTGTTCCAGGATGTAGTTCTACTCGTTACAGTGTTTCTGTAGCCGTGGCTGTTTCTACACTGGAAAGAATCACTGGCCATGGCTAGTGCTAAACAAAGGCAGTTCCTACGCTGCTTGATTTTTTTTGAAAGCTTTGTTGAAGCGGTACGATGTGGCCACGAAGAACAAATATATTACTGACGAAGAAGGGTGAGAAAAGCAGGCTGAAGTCAGTGAAGACATCGATGTCGAACGTAGTGATACTAGTACTGGCACTGGAATTTAGCATGGACTACCTGTGGAGCGTGAAGTGGCTGCCCACTCGCTGGTAAGTGGACCCACTTGCAGCTCCAGTCGCACGAGTGCCGTTTGAAACTGTTTCTGTGGATCCTAGAGTATCCTGAGCTCAGTGGACGACGCATCTCAGAGCTGCTGAACTTACTTGGGCTACTGTCCCTGTACAGGAATGAGGTTCGTGTCAACCACTGTACTGCACTGATGGTGTAAGGAAAACGCTGGCCAGAAGCTTGTGTTCTGAACCAGGGACGAACTTCTAAATCCTGCTTTTGTAAAAATGGGGATGCCACAACTAAGATGTGCACACTCAGGTGTGTATTGGGTAAATGCCTGTGGTTGATTATTTTGAATCCTTTTCTATGCGCAAGTACATGCGTTTGTGTGTGTGTGTGTACGCGCGCATGTGTGTGTGTGTACGCGCGCATGTGTGTGTGTGTACTCGCGCGCGCGCACGAGTGTGTGTGTGTACGCGCGCGCACATGCGCGTGTGTGTGTGCAAGCTGTTGAAAGGTGTAATCCGAGCACAAGTTGCTATGTCTAACGTAGTTTGTTCGCTATCCTCGCTTCAGCGTTGGGCAGGTGTACGAGTGTGTGTGTACGCACGTGTGTGTGTGTGCGCGCGTGCTCGTGCCCGCATGTGTGGGTTCGCACGCAATGTTGATCTGGGTTATGCACATGTCCCCACGAGTGCACTGTGTGCATGTGCATGCAAATGTCTGTGTACATGTATGTGTGTATGCACGTGCATGTGTGCGCGCGTGTGCAAAGCTAGGTGTGGAAGGGGGGGGGGGGGCTCACGGTGCTGGTTCTGTATGCCTCTCTGATGTCCGCAAGGACAGTGTGGTAATGGCTTTACAGTACAGGAGTTGCATGTGAATGCGCATTTGTGAACCGTATTTGAGACACAAAAAGAATTGCCGAGAGAGCATGACAGTACATTACATGTATATCGTATATGTGCACGCCAGCGTGTGTAGATGCATATTGCCCTTCATGCGATGTTTTTCTGGAGTCTGCTGCTATCAACGCAAGTGACAACCAGCAAATGCACGCCCAGTGCAGTGGCTGGTCTTCAGGCTTTTATTTACACTAAGTCCTACTATGGACTAGTAGTGTTACAATGATGCGTGCATGAGAGTGCGTGCATGTGGGTGGGTGTTTATGTGCGTGCGCACGCGTGTGAGTGTTTAGTGTGCCTTATTTTGAATGCCTGCTTTCACATTATTCATGTGCCAGTTTCATGGTCGAGGTTGTTATGAAACCTCGCTGCCTTACATGTACATGTACACTACTCGTATATCAATGTGCTAGGACTGAAGGCTACATGACATACATGTACATGTAATTATACATGTACCTTTCAAAGCACAGACTGTCTGGTATGTCCAAAGGAGGTTGCAGCATGAAAATAACTTCTTCTAAAATAATATTACCATACTACCATGTCATTGGTAGTGATATTCAGTCAAGAAGGCAAGAATGGTCAGATTTTCTAAAAATGCTATTTCAGAATTGGCCTAAAAATACCATATTTTGATACCTATATTGTTTGGTAGGGGCCTAAAGTGCCTGGTGACACCATCAAAACTGTCCATTATCGGTTTCCTTGGGGCTCAAGGATCACAGAAAGCCACAAAAATCAATATGTCCATGGACAAAATGTTGCAGGCTGAACCATTTCACAATTCAGCACCCGATGGAAATTTCGGTACCCGTAATTTCGAAAAAGTGGCTCGCCAAGGGCAAAACCAAGACGCAGTCTATCTTGTGTAGCCAAGATACCTCCAAATGTGGTTCTTAAACATATGATGAAGAAAATGCTTAGTATCCTCCTTCCAGGAGGCTTCTTTGGGTCAAAAACCAAATTTTTTTACCATTTTTTTACCGAAAATCAAGAAATTGTACACTCACTAAATACACCAGAATACCTCTTATATGCCTGGTGACCCTACCTAAAAACTATACCAAATTGGAGAAGAGACATCACTCCACCATTCTATGCATAAAAAACAGGGTGTCCATGGACCTTTTATTTTTACTTCTTTAGGTGGGAGCCTCCTTAAGTTAGTGGCGAATGCAGACCTCACAAGTGAGCTCCAGTATAGCTGTATTTTTCATTGCAAGCCCTCCTCGATTGATGTGTTCGTTGTTCAAACGAAGTGGACATTCAATCATGAAGGCAGAGGACATAGGAGCCTGATTGGAGTTTCTCGTGGCATAGGACGGCCACACAGAGACACTTTGGGATTTTCTGAATATAAAATACCCTACGCACGATGCTGAGATCAATTTGTGCGATATCAAATTGTTTGTGATCTACCACATCGAGCAGAACGGGATCCAAACACAAGCTTACCGACGGTTAGGCTGCCGACCTGACTGGACAAATGATCCCTGGCTTCACCCGACGCCAGAAGTCGGACACCATGTCCTTTGCCGCGACGTCCATCTCCAAAAAGAACTCCATCTTCGTCGTGAAAAGGCTTGAAATACTCAATATTCAACCGAGATTCGCGGTCTCACCCTTTCTCAGATCAAATCATTTTTTGTTGTAGCAGTTGCAGGGCAGATCCCTGCCACTACTTCAACAGAAGATGGCTCTAAAGCATGCCTGGAACAAGCCATATCGAGGTTGCAAGCCACCCCTCTCAGCACTTTTTTTGAAGAAATTCGAAATTTCAGTGGTGGAAGATATACTATGGAGAGAATTTCAAAAAGTATGTTTCGCGGAGCGATCGCTCAACCTACGTCATTCAAACTTTGCAGGATGGTTCAGACGTACACGTACATGCTAGGCATGGAACCATAGCTGACACACAGAGTCACACACACAGCAGATTCGTGTGCACAGATACTAAATTAGTGGACGTCGTCATCTTCTTCCCGCTGATCTCAAATGTACTATGCCGTGACGTGCTATTTCGCCTGACAGATGGGAGCTTTCTGACTGACAGATTGAAGAGAGAGGGCCCCAAGACGGAGCCTTGCGGAACCCCCTGTTGCTGCTATATGTCAGGCCTTGCTGTGTCTTGGTGACCACACGTTGCTTCCTGTGGGTAAGGTAGCTACAGAACCACTGCAAGGCAGTACCACCGACACCGATCTCCAGAAGTTCACTCAGTAGAACTTCATGACTAACTGTGTCGAATGCCTTAGACATGTCTAGAAAGGCAGCTACGACATAATCACCATTGTCCAAGGAGAGCATCCAGTCGTTGATCACGGGAGTGAGCAAGTCCTCGCAGGAGTGGCCTCTGCGGTAGGCAAATTGCTCAGCAGGTAGGGGTAACAGTGGCGGTGGTGCATTATAGACATAGTACATTAGTTGGTCGTGTACAATATGTTCCAGTAGCTTAGACATGTGGGACAGGAGTGATATTGGTCTATAGTTGGATGGGACTGACTTATCTCCACGCTTGTAGATAGGCCGCACATTTGCTACAAGTTTGTATGTCGATGGAAAATCGCCAGA